AGGGTGTTTCAACTATATAACTCTTCTCTTCTAGATCTCTTCATATTAGAAACATAAGAGGCATCCATAGAAATATATATAATACATGCATGTAACGTAACTATATAGTTTGTTCATGTAAAGGGGGAGGGTAGAGCGCGGTAGCAAATCATCTGAAACGATCCATTTGAGACCGTCTGGCAGTGGCAGATCTAGGCGTCGGGTTAGGGTATGCACGTATATAATACTACTAGTACACAATAGAGCATAATAAAGAGAAAGGGTCGAGCTCGTTTGCTCCATTGAACAGACGAAAATGCCTTTCAAGAGGTATGTGGAGATCGGGAGGGTCGCTATCCTCAACTACGACAAGGACTATGGAAAGCTTGTCGTCATTGTAGACGTTATTGATCATAATAGGGCCCTCATTGATGCGCCTGACATGGTTAGAAGCCAGATGAACTTCAAGAGGCTTTCACTTACGGATATAAAAATTGACATAAAAAGGGTCCCGAAAAAGAAGACTTTGATTGCCGCCTTTGAAGCTGACAATGTCAAGAATAAATGGGAGAAGAGCTCGTGGGGAAGGAAGTTGATTGTGCAGCAGAGGAGAGCAGCTCTAAATGATTTTGACAGGTTTAAGATCACGCTAGCAAAAATCAAGAAGGCTGGAATTGTGAGACAAGAGCTCTCAAAGCTTAAGAAGGAAAGCACATCCTAAGAGTCATTTTAGATATTGATAAATAAAGCATAATAAAGAGAAAACAATACATTATTAAACTTGAATTATGTTAAATGAGAAGAAGTACATTGCCATTAAGGGCAAAGACAACCATTTTGCCTCTGAGGAAAAAGACAATCTGACCAATGAAAAGAAAAAGAAAAAGATGCAGAAGGCTGTTCCAGATGAAAAAGATGAACAAACTGATGTTGTAGAAAAATATAAACAAGTGGCTGATAAATGTAAAAACTATCATTCTGCTTCCAATGAAAGAGAAAACCGGACTACTATGTTAAAGACAATCATCCTGCCTGAGGAAAAGTACAGTGAGGTTGATGCTAATTACAATTACAATTACAATTACAATTATGAATATAATAATTATAACTACATCTATAATTATATCAACATTTTAAATTATAATAATTTTAATTAAAATAACTACAATATAACAATCATAATTATAGCAATAGTGAAAAATATTTATAATTCAAATACTATTACAATTATAATTATACCTATTATAGTAATTAAAATTATAATAGTAATAATAATAGTAATAATAATAACAATAATAATAACAATAACAACAACAATAATGACAATAAGAACAACAAATACACTAATAGTAATAATAGCAATAATAATAATAGAAATGATTACACATTTATGGTTAAAATAAAGATTGTTTACAAAAATGTGATAATGACTAGAGTAGTAATGAAATCATAGTAACTTATGTTCCATTTTAAACGTAAGTTACCATGACACTACATTGTTGTAACTACTAGTCATATTTGTGTAAATAAGTTTTATTTTAATAATATTATTGTAAAAACCCCATAATAATACTAGTAATAATAATAATAATAATAATAATAATAATAATAATAATAAACACTCAATCAGGCCAACATTTCACTACTACATTTTTAGACCTAATGTAACATTAGAGATGTAACATATCTATAATAGTGTTACCTATTTCTCTAATGTTACACTTTCTAGACCTAGTGTAACACTTTCTAGAAGTATAAGTGTTACATTACATTTTTTTACCTATTACATTTGCTGGTGTTGCATTTGAGCTATTGTAACACTTTATAGTACCTAATGTAACACTTATACTTCTAGAAAGTGTTACACTAGGTCTAGAAAAGTGTTAACATTACATTTTTTTACCATTACATTTGCTGGTGTTGCATTTGACCTATTGTAACACTTTATAGTACCTAATGTAACACTTATACTTCTAGAAAGTGTTACATTAGGTCTAAAAAATGTTACATTAGAGAAATAGGTAACACTATTATAGATATGTTACATCATTAATGTTATATTAGGTCTAAAAATGTAGTAGTGATTATTCAAATTAGATCAGATAAAAAAGATTCATATCAGATCAGAAAGATTCAGATCGGATTAGAAAGATTCAGATCAGCTCAGAAAGATTCAAATCACATTAGATAAAAAAAATTCACATCAAATCAGATCTTAAAAAATTTTGAGGATTATTTTGAGGATTTAAACTTTAAACTCATATGATTCAAGAACTTTGATGTTATTTAGTCATATTTGGAGAAATGTTCTTGAAATTCTACCATGATTTACTCTTTACCATTCTATCATGTCGGAGTGGGCGATTCCACTTTGGATGAAGTCGAGAATCCCCCATAGTTGTTGACCAAAGTTTCAAAACCACTTAGAGAGTGTTTGCGATTGCTTCTACTTCAAAAAGTGGGATTTTAACGTGATTTTGGAGAAAATATTTAATAGTATAAGTTGGTAGTGTTTGAGAAAAATGTGATTTGAAAAAAGTAAAAGTTGATGGTGTTTGGTAAATAAGTGCTTTTTGTGTAATACAAAAAGTGAAAAGCAGTTTAAAGCACCATTCCACCCGTTTCCAGCTTTTAGCTTTTAAGCGCTTAATTTAATCAGAAGCTGTCATTTGAAAACACTCTTTTCATCTTTTTTAAGCCAAAAGCTTAATTTTTTTAAGGTTTTAGCAAACACTCTTTTTACAATATTGAACTTTGCAAATATTTAAATTAAATAATTTAGGTGAGTTGAGTGTTATTGTTATTATCTAATTCTATACAAAAGGAGGAGAAAATTTGATCATTTTCCCCGCTCAAATTCATGGTCAAATACAGGTTTTGGGTTGCTAAATACCGGGTCAAAAATGACAACTCAATGTTCATAAATGTAACAAAAATGCTCTTGGTACCCACATTAATATCCACCTTATACCCACTATATAAACTCCATTTTTTTACACCCTCTGTTCCCCTCACCCCACCACCCAGCGACCCACGTGCTAACTCGCCCCCACCTCGAAAATCAAAACCCCCACCGCCCTTGAGAGTTGAAACTGCCTCCCCCTTCCTTCTCTCCGGCATCCCCATGACAACACCACGTTTGATTTCAACCGACATCCCCACGACTACTCTCCTCTTCTGGTGTACCCACGAACCCTCTCTGTGATGATTCCTCTATTTCGTCTCGTGAGAACGCACAAGCCGCCTCTGTGCGGACTGAAGTGACGACGACTCACAACAATGGTGCGAACCCCACTGACAGAGATGGCGGAAAGGCATGTATCATTTCTCAACCTTTGTTGGTTTTTAGGTTTTTTGTTTGTTTGATTTCTTGTTTTTAGCAATCTTCGAACGAGGTAGGTTTTGAAGCGACAAGGACTCGCAGTTGGTTTTAACATATGTAAATGATGGTTTCATTGATTTGTGATACTTAATGTATTAAAACCAGCCATTTGGTGTCAATTATTGTTTGTGAATCAACATTTTGTCTATGATATAGTATAATTCCTTTGTTCAAGTTTATAAGTTGTCTGTGGGGATGTTTAAAGTTCATTTTTAGTGTATAAGCTGTCTTGTTTCAATCTGATTTTTTTAGTACTTTAGATTGAAATTGTGAGGCAGAGTATTTTATTAGAAATTCAATGAGAAATGCATGTACATACTTGGAACCCATTTTGTAAACCTGTTTTTCGCTTATGATTTTATTAGCTAACTTTTTTCATTAAATACGTAAAATAAGCATAAAATTATTTTTGTGCCTGAATTGACTGAACATAGTGTAGAAGAGTATTTTAATTATTTTGTCTTATAATTTTTCTTTACTTTATTAATAAAATATCTTTTAAATATACTAGTAGCTCACCCGTGCGATGCACGACAAAAAGCTCAATACATATAATTAAAAAAATCAAAAAGCATATTGTTGCATCAATTATAAAACTAAAGTCGAATAACAAACATTAGATATACAAATTTTGAAAAACTTCTTTTCAGAGACAATATTTGTAGCTTACATTGTGCTTTGTTTGTTACCATCTACTAACAAAATTTTCAGTCCTTTTCTATTGAATTGGTAACTCTGGAAACAACAACATAAACCCGACCATTAGAGAAAACCGGCTTCTTCAATAACAACCTCACATGAGAGAGAGAGACTCACCTTAATTTTATTAGTAGTCATTGCATAATTAAGCAACCGTTAATGGAAATCGTCTCCTTTGAAATTTGAATGGAAGTCTCACATGTGAAGGAGATAGTGATAATCTTGTAATGAGAGCGTGTTCACCCATGCTTCTACCAGTGATAACCTTAGCTTCTAAAATATGGTCACCGAGCTTACCCGTGCGATGCAAGGGCAAACAAATTCTATAAAAACTACTCAAGGATGAAATAATAAGTAACAAAAAACTTTTTTATTCCAATTAAAGGAGAACACCTAAATAGTATTGCTTGTAATCAATTAATAAAAAAATCCAACATAAGTTTTACAAATTTTGGAATACTTCTTTATTAGACAACATTTGGTTTTATTCGTTGCGCTTTGATCATCATCACTCACCAACAAACAAATTAGCCGTTTTTATTGGTAACCCTGGAATTGCAACGTTAGAGAAAACCGCCTTCTTTAACAACAACTCCAGTGCTTCACTCCCGCACGTCCAATGATTTTTGAAGTTGACTGCGTTTTTTGTGTGTAATTTTTCACAGTTAACTTCCAAAAATCATTTTATGACCTTCCGGATTGAGTTTTTAGCTGAATTTTTGTGTCCGGATTGAGTTTTTAGCTGAATTTTTGTGTGAATAACTAGACTTCATGAAGAACCTATCCTGAAAATTTATCAAAAAATAAACACCTGAAGGCGGCCAAATGCCATCCGACGGACGACGGTCTTGTGAGGCCGTCCGCACGAGAATACCACTCATACGTAGTACTATGTATGTTACTCCGTACTTTTGTTTAAAATATAGTACTCAGTATTATACTCGTAAACACGGAGGGAGTGTAAAAAGTTCAAAGGCGAAGCCTGCTAGACTCGCGTCGAAGAAACAGGTTCAGGGAAATACTTGGTCTGGAATCTCCCACAACAGGAAGTACTAATACTCCGTATTAAATCTCCAGTGGAAATACTGAAAGTACTAATACTCCGTATTAAATTGGAAGTGATCACACTAAGCACTGAGGTTGTCAAATGGGCGGAAGAGACGGCAGCAACGAGTGGGAACTTCACCTGAGATCCTTAACTTCCGGCGCTCGAGACTCTAACGCTGCCGTTGATCCTTCGCTTGTCAATTCCGTCCGTCACCACCTTTCTCTCTTAATCTCCATGTGTTTGTGTGCTCGATTGCGACTTATGTTTATTTATTTCTTGATTTTACTCAGGTCAAGAAGCTTTGTGAACTGTGCAGAAATTCGGAAGAAATGGTAGCTAGAATTTATCCTCATCTCAACAGGATCTTCCAACGAGCAGTGGCCTCAATCAGTCAATCGCAAACCCCATTTGGCCTTCTCTTACTGGTAATCTTTCCCAACTTTCCTTTAACCCTCTCGGCACATGTTGATCATCATCATCATCAATACTACAGTGCAGCAAAGGCTACCTAAGGTGGGTAAGGAGTAGGATGTACAGAGCCTTACCCCTGCACTGTTTCTGGATGACCATTGTGAAAATAGCGAGTCTTACTCCGTATGTTTCATAACAAAAAAGCACATACAGTTTAGTGAGTCATTTTGCTTTATCCATCATATTCCCAAGCCAAAAATAGATAGTCTTTGGCTCCGTTGCAAATGATGGAAAAATAAATTCTACTTTGAAGCACATGTCGAAAAAATGTGGCCACGGGCCAGTATATTTTCTGAGCATAGCTAAGTTAATGACTACCCCCCAAATATTAATGGTCTAATATATAGTAAGAAGCCAATACCAATGCCATTACTTGACACAATGGAAGCACCAAAAATCAAATTGAGTCTTTATTACATAGATGACACGACTTTTGTGGAGAATCAACTAAAGAAACTACAAACTCAAGTTATTATTTTTTTGCAGTCTTTCTGTGTATATTCATCAAACAAGCCATGAGAAACAATATGTAAGTTCCAAGAAACTTGTGATTGTCATATTCCACAATAAAACTAGAAGTTCGAGTTTACGTATAGATTAGGGACATGTTTTTCCCATATAGATTAGTCCAATAATTTTTGATGTATTTGTTGTAAAAAAGTATAATGTGAAAGTCATATCTGTTTCCAATCCTAATATTTTACATTGAATAGGCAATTCTCCAATTTTTTCTTGACTTTGGAGATTTGGTTCTGCATGACGCTGATCCCAGTTTGAGGACTTTCTTTAGATTGTGTCTAAGCCGGTGAGAACACCTTATTCCTCTGAGGTATTTTGCAGACAAAGGTGATACTGTGTTGCATCAGATGGTAGCTATAAGATACTAGTAATATTATTTTTTTAAAAGTATGCCTACCTTGATACTGGGTAGCAACCAGATACAAACTGAATCAGAACTGTCTTCAGTCTTCAGTCTTCAACTATTGTTACGCTATATTGAACATCGACCTTCCAGAAAAAGCAAGCCTTTAAGTGCTGCACACTTATATGGTTGCAGACTTCCTACCTCTGATATTTCTTTCCGAGTATGCGGTTTAGGCTAAAAAATGTATGGTAATACAATTTTCATTTAGTCTATTACTTTTCTTTTCGTGATGATATGAAGGGCATAAATCTTACTATTTACATATTATTCTCTATTTGAGTACGTCATATCATTACTTGTTGGTTTTGGTTGTTAATATTTCTACACTAGCTATGTATGAATATAAGTTTGTCTTTGTTCCAATTGCCTAATCCTTTAGTGATACAAAATTCAGTGAGTTTGCAGACTCTGCTGTAGCAGAAGCAACTCTTTGTTTTTTGGATGAAAATAAGAGAAAGCTGTCAAGTTCGTTCCCCGCTGTACTTCCTCAGGTCAACATTTTGAGATTAATACTGAGAAGTGGTGAATAATGATAGTTTTGCATTAGTAAATTACCCAGTTTCCAGTTTACGCAAATGTGCTATAACTTGTAGCCCTACAGATGAATTAAATATTACCACCTCCGTCCCACTATCAATGGGACATAAGGAGGTGGTGCGGTTATTAAGAAAAGTGGGTATATGTTGTTGATATTGAATTGATAAAGTAAGAATAAAATAATGACGATTTACTGATTTAGAACCACACAAACTTTACCAAATTCGGTATGGAACAATCTTAGTGGGACGGACTGAAAAGGAAAGATGATGCAATCTTAGCGGGACGGAGGGAGTATCAGTTTATGAGTTAATTGGGTGTTCTAAAACAGACTTGTTATATTTTTGCTTCAATAGTTAAATTTACATATGATTTACAGTTTTTCCCATTGCTGCTGAAGCTGCTAGCTTGGAGCGGAGAGAAGTAAGCTATTCATCTAATAGCAAGGAATTGCATTCTTTATGATTATGTTTAGAGATAAGATTATAATACTCCATCCGTCCCATTTTGTAAGATACACTTTCCTTTTTGGGTTGTCCCAAAAATATGAACACTTTCTTAAATTGAACTCCACTATCTTTTTATTTTCCCACTTTATCCTTTTATCTCTCATTCTACCATTTACTTTTTGTGGACCTCTTGCTTTTTCTTGATTTTTGAAGGTTAGAATTGTAAAGGAACCACTTTATCCTTTTTTTTTTTTAAAACCCGTATCAAATCCACATGTATCTTACATTGTAGGACGGGATAGTAATTACTAAACATGTGATCATGAATGCAATTATATCATTTCAGGTTAGAGAAGCTATTTCTTAGAGTATTTCCTGGGTTGATTTCTTCTGGCTCATTTCTGCCGCTGTTCCCACCACTCATCGACTTGCCTAGTGAGTTCTTTATTCTACATTTGTAATTCTTATACCTCCATAATTTATTTTATTGATTTTTTTGGCACCGAGTCCTTTTTATTGTTAACGAAAGAGACATTTCATTTTTTCACATCAGTACTGGTTGTAGCATTGGAAAAGGTAGAGAAGAGTTCGGGGCCACTAGTTGGAAACAGCATAGCTTCAATTCAGAAGAGTGCTGCCCCTGAGGTTATTCTTCATGGCCTGATTCTTTAAAAGCACAGCAGTTGGATTACTGTTGAAACACTCTCCTCTGATTCAGATGCTGCTAGCACTCATGGATGAAGCATATACTGGATCCACAATAGGAGATGCTGGCACAGATGTAGAGTCCATGGACAGCAGTACAATAGCTGTATCCAATCCAATTTTTCTTGAACTTCTCAAGGATGAGAATGATGGCCTTGCTGTATGGTCCTTTCTGTCAGAAACTCAGTCCCATTATTTGCTTACTTTCATCGGGGTCATTATTTGTCCTAATCTTGACTGCATTTTCTAATCCAACACAAGTCATTGTGTATATGGTATTGCCCTAAATTGTTTCAAATGGAACATCTGGTGGAATTGAATCTTAAATGGTCTTGGTGTTTTAGGAACGCCATTGGACTTCTCCTGCCATGGCTGCAACCTTGCAAGCAGTAGTGAACGCACCTCAGTCTGAGAGACTGAATCAGGCTCTCAAAATTGCACCCAGGCTTCTTGATGTCTATTTCGCTGTAGCAATCCATGATGTCAATGATTGTATGTTCTGAAATTTTCAGCATTTAATTTTTGCATCAAGAGTTGCTTTCTTCTATGGCTAAATGAAGAATTTTTGGGGAGTGCTACTATCTTATTGCGAAAATGATAATCTGATTAATGTTGCATATCTTTACAGCGCTTTTGTGTGCTCTTATTCCCATCCTTATGGTGAGATATTCCACTCTATTTCCTGACAAGATTTTCTCCTATGAGGTAATTAGATGCCACACATATGCTTTTATATTTTCTTGCGAAACATATTTAATTGATTTTCATGGCGGACATTTTGAGAGAAGATATCATGTTAGCGGTAGCGACGGTAGACTGAAGTAATTGTGCTTTCTTGATACATATGTATCATGAATTATACTTCTTTAACCTACATAATTCCCATGTTAGTTCCTTTCTGAACATTTTACACTCGATATGAACTACCACTATCCCCTGATTTAGGATATTGAGCTAATAGGTGTCGATAGTTGCAGCTTAGTTTATACTTGTGATAGCAGTTATCACGAACAAGTGGTGGAGACAGGATTTTATACCTGTGGGGATGAGTACCCATTCGGGGGACATGTAAAATATACTCCCTTCCTCCCATAAACAGGTTCCTGTTTTGGTCTACGATGTTAAGATTGACTGATTATAAATTGAACCTCCTCCCTTCAGAAAGTACAGTTAATGCTCTATTTAATCGCAAAATCAAATTTGTGTTTATGATAAAGTTTGATATATAAAATCAGATATTAAGAGTGACTTATGTTGAGTGCATGAGTAGTGAATGAGAACTTAATTTTGGGATGAAGGCAATAAATAATACCTACAAGTACATATTTATTGAAAAATATCGGACCGACTCTGCCTACTTAGTTTTTTTGGATATCCACCATTGGCATTAATCCTACTGGTTTATCAAAGCACCATAGGAGATAAAGCAGCAGGTTCAAATTGGGGAAAAGAAACGTGTCTTTTGTTGATAGAATTTATTGTCTGATGTTTGATGGTAAGCTTAATGACTTTTTACTCAATTGTTCATCAACTAGCTTAGATGCAACCATGTGATGCTATCATCAAAATGCCAATGTCAGAATTCCCTAGAATCTTTGTTGTTGGTATAGGTGTAATCGTGAAAAAAGTAGTTGAATCTTTGTGCAATTTGACAATCACAATTTAGTGATTTGTATATAAAGTTCTAAATTTTGGTGCAGTTCTAACAAACATTTCAGCAGAATCCAAAAGAAATTGACCAACACATAGAAATCACCTTTTTCCACCATTGAATTGTTTCTAAATGTGTAGTCATCATGCTTGTAGGTACAAAAAAGGCTCTTAGAATTCATGCTCGCCGCATTCTACCGATCCCCTAATTTTGTTGCGCTTCTGAAGGTATTATAATCACACTCGTCACCCCCCCTAAAACTCAAACACCAATTGCATTCAACATTATACAAGGACATTATATTATTATATATGAGACAAAATACACTGTGCTGTCTTGATAATAAATGTGAAAAATCTCGGTCTTTCTCTTAATTGACAAAATACTATTTCTGATAACAGGTTAGAGTAAATGAATGAAACAATGAATAGGCAAATAACCAACACCTCTTTACCCCTAGACCCAACTAAACAAAAGGAAAAAGAAAGAGAGACAAATTGTGCAAAAAATGGTTCTTGATAATTATTTGATGTATGGTGGTGTATTGGTGCATCACTGTTTTTTTTAAAGCCTGATTTTATTAATCATCAAAACAAGTACATAAGCAGGGGGGGCTGATGCCAAGGCCTCAGGCCAACCCCCCCCTAGGGGCATGCCCCCAAGGAATACAACAAAGAAATAAGGGGGAGGGAGCCCTGACAAACTAAAGGAGGGCTAAACCAAGGAAACTACAACAAAGGTACAAACCAGGAAATAACAAAGTAGCAACGATCATTAATGATTCCCGGGCTAAAAAACCCACCATGTGGGAAATGGCTAGTAGAGGTACTCAAACAAACCAGGTGTTGTATACGTAGTATTTATTAAACTGTTATCATGAGAATCATGATATCCACCCACCATATTTGCAGAAGCCTATAATGGACAGACTAGGAGAAGCTTATTATACTCATGCAAAGGTCAGCATATCGATGACACTCCTGCAAGAAATAAGATAAACTGTTCTAACTTCGTTAGTTCCTTGGGAAAAACAAATCATGCTGAAATATTTCCTTGCATAACTTGTCAGACTGAACTGGCACTACAATTATGTTGGGCTATTGGGGAGTATGGAGGAGGTGGGGAATCCCACAAAGATGCTGCCCGTGAACTTTTTGAGAGCTTGGAACTACTACTGTATGAAAACCTCTCATCAAGGTATTGTAAGCTTATATATCGATTTTCCATCTTCTTTCAACAGAACAAAAAGGTTAAAGGCTTACGTATTGTTTTCTTTTCAATGGAAAGCCGTCTGGGTATAGGAGAAGCAGCCAATGGTGACTCAGACAGTTCTTCATATAGAAAATCATCACAGTCTAGGCTTTTGTGCTTTGTTGTAACAGCAATAGCAAAGCTTGCCACATACCATCATGAGTTACTGCTTAGAGCCCGTGTATCCTTGGCAAAGGTTAGACACGCTCTCTATCTTCAGATTTTGTGAATGTTGAGATGGTAAAAAGGATGTGCTATTGTGCTAATCTAATCATGGGTGATGGTTTGAACTTTGAACCCAAATTTCTCCTTTTGATATCTCACATGCACCCACTTGGAGCAAAGAAATTCTTGGGGAATTCTCCAAAAGAAAAATGTCCACTTTTAGTCACATTCCACTTTTCGCACTTGGCGATGGTCCTTCCGCACACTTGTTCAGTCAATTTTCGGTTAATTTTCTCCAGATTAGTACCCAGAGAGCACCAAAAGTGGCAGTAATTTCATAGGGGTGATCAAAAGTGGAAAAATGAAAATATGTGACCAATAAGTGAACTTTTGCTCTAAAAATTGTAACATGGCACCCAGTTTTTATTAGTGATGATATTGGTAGGTTGTAAGATCTCGAATCTTGGATGTGAGGGTGTGGAGGCGTGCACGGGACTGTTTAGGCTTAATGAATGAGCCTGCAATATGTTTATCAGTGTTGGGTCCATGTAAACCTACAAGTAGTACAGATGTGCAGCGTCCAGGCAGTGTAAATTGGAGTGAGGGTGGCACGAAAATGGTTGCACACATCCCCTTTCACATTTTAGGTGAAGATGAAGAAGGTAAGATGATTGGAAAGCATATTATAAAAGCTGTAGTAATAACTGCAGAAACTTGCCGGTTATATTCTGATGTTCCTTTTAAAAACACATCTCTCCAGGTCCTCTTTCCCATGACTTTTCATTCATGGATATTCTGGGACGCAAGTAATTTTATTTTGGAAGAGGTAGTTTGAACCTTGAGTTATCTTCTCATACAAGATGGATCAAAAGCAAATAACAGGCCCCTTCATTCCCAGGAAGATTTAGTAGGATAATGTACTGTAACGGTGGAGAGATTGTGTAGCGAAGCTGCGAAGAGCCTTTGTTTATTATGGAGTAGGCTAAAGGGTCAAATAGGCCATGAACTAACTTAAAGTGTTCAATTAGCCCCTTTGTTTAGGAGGTTCTGTCCGGATGTCGCCGATTGGGGCGGTTCCCGATGGAATTTTTTGATGAATTTTTTTGAGCATCTTCTTCATTAAGTCTAATTTACCCATATCAAATTTCACCTAAAAATTAAAGCGGCAAGGCAGTCAAACGATTTACCGAAATGTACTGCGCTGTTCAACTGCGCAATTATCTTCAAAAAATCATTTGACTGTCTTTCCGGTTGAATTTTTAGCTGAAACTTGGTATGGCTAAACTAGACTTAATGAAGCAGATGCTCAAAAAATTTCATTAAAAAATTACACCGGGAACCGCCCCAATTGGCGACGGCCGAGCAGAACCTCCTATATAAGGGGCTAATTGAACACTTAAAGTTAGTTCATGTACCTATTTGACCCTTTAGCCTTATGGAGTATTATTACTCTGATAACTATAATTTGTACTTCGTATTTGATTTGTTTCCTGAAATTTCTTAATTCTTTAGATTGTGTCGTTGTGAATTTTGTACTGCTGCCATTGTGTTCCTTTACAATAATTATTACTAGCACAGTACCCATGCATACTGTCACGGACTTGGGAGAGTCGTGACAATACGCACGGGAAAAACAGTTGGTTCATATATATTTACATTCATGGCTAATTAAATATAAAAATATTTTTTTAAACAATTTTACATCATTTAAAAAATGGAGTATGATAACTGAATATCAAAAAGTATAAATTCATACAACAAATATTCAAAATTAAAGAAAATTAAAATATAAAAAATGTATACCTTCAATTAGAATTTGCTACCTAATAATAATTAGGATTGTTGATAACGGATAATGAAATATTGAATTTAATTGATAGAGTTTTGAAATTTTACTTTAAAGAGAACTTTTATTGGTAATGTCTAATGATTTTTTATAATGTACTCTTTTCGCCCCTTTTTATTAATCCAAATATGACTTTTCAAGTCAAGGATGTTAAACTTTGATCGATTATATATGGGAGATTTGCTATTTTAGTCCTGTAACACTCGACTGTTATCGTTATTGATCCTGTAACTTCAAATTTGGTTCTGTAACTAATAAATCTTTGCAATTTAAAGACTTTTCCATTGGAAAGTATATTTTTCGATAGAAAAATTCGACGTCGCGACACCTTTTATGATATACCATATAGGGAAGGACCGGGCCTGGGACTAGGCATTAGGGTATAAAGACCGGTATCGGGCTCGGGCCGGCTCGGGCTTGCATAGTATCGGGCCGGGCCGGGTCCCAGATCGGGTTGACTTGTTCTAGTCCACCTTAATACTATCGTCGAAAAGTGTACTTTTCAAGGGAAAAGTCCTTAAATTGCAAATATTAATTAGTTACAGGGTCAAATTTACAAGTGAATAAAGTAAAAGGACTAACTAGTGTAACACCCGGGGCAATGCCCCGATAGTGTCATGTTAATATGAAATATAAAACTCCATCATATATTAAATGTGTAGAACTATTGGTGTTGACTTTCGGAGGAAGTCTCTCCATACCACATTTTGGAGTAGCAAAATTGGCATGTGTGGTCCATAGATCCAATGTCATGATATCCTATTCAAATATGATCAATTTTTATGAGAGTTAGGAAACCACACTACATATAATATGAATTAAATTCATAAGATTAAGATAAATGTTAAATATATCAGGAAAATTCATAACAATAGACTGTGCATGTTGTGGTAACAGTAAGAATTGATTTGGGATTGTTGAGGTTTAGTCCCGCAGATCCGAAAGCCCAACATGAACTTTGGATATATCAGGAAATGGATCAGAACCGAGTGTATAAGATGAGTAATTGATTGCTCTAAAGCTCACTTTGTGTTAAATAACTTGCTTGATTACACAGAAACCTCACGATCGATACGTCGGAGTAATGATTAATACAAGAACAAGAGTGATAATGCTATTCTAGAGCTTGAGTATGAAAATGCTAACCCTTTACAATGAAACTAATCCTTCTATTTATACTAATGGGGGGTATGTGGTATTTCATGTTGATTGGTTGCCTTATCTAGCCACTTGGAAACCCATACTCCCACTAGCTGCCGTCATAGTTTAGCAATAAATGCTCCCTGCCACTTGTTGGCTACCCGTTGCCCGAACGGGTAATGGACCCTGCTGGCCCAAGTCTGTTGATTAGACCGAACCTCGTTCGGTATATTGATCTGGAGTCATCATTGATCTGGCCTATTAATGATCTGGCCCAAGTACGTTAATTGACCCGAACCTCGTTCGGTACATATTTTTCCATGAGCCTGTTCATCTTCTGGATTATGGGTCCGTCTAACGGACTGGATATCTTGGGCCTTGGATCCGGGTATTAGGCCTGCGGCCCAATATCCCAACACGAGTCCCCCACTTCCGATGTCTCGAACGGTAGTGAGTGCATTGGGAAGTAGAAGCTACCTGCCGAATGGCGATCGGGATCCAGAGTTCGCTGGTTCCCCATGCCACGATTAGTACCTTTTCTTGCGGCTGTCATTTGACTTTTCCCATAATCGTCATGATTACTAATATTTGCTTCTCCATGCGACACGTGTTATTTCAAATAGTCTTGACGACGTGTCATTATTTGGTTGGTCCTCGATACGACATTTGTCAGGCTATAAATTAGCCTTTAGTTCTTTAGTTATGAGTTTCGAATTATCAATCCATCGTGCTTTAACTCTGCCTTCTTTCTAAACTTTCTTCAAGCTTTTTGTGTTCAAGTATTTTTCATCCCTTAATTTTTCTCCTTTTTCTTCGGTCTGGTCGGTATGAGTCCTCAATCGCGTTCCTCTGATTCGGAAATGGCTTCTCAAGGGGATGACCATGATGTCGCCGTTGTGGACGTCATAAATGTCCCGTTTGCCGGTGGTTCAAATGAAGTGACGGCGGAGATTAGGGCGGAGGCGGAGGATTCTTCCGTTGACTCTTCTGTTGATGATGATTCCGACGATACGAAATCCGGTGATGAACTCGTTTCAATGTCGGCCGGCCTCCCGGGCGACGTTCCTCGTCATAAGGTGGACTTGAGGCTAATTAGGGAAAGGAGGCAAAAATTGACCTCTCACAATAGGGCTCAAATTCCAGCCCTAATTCCGGACCCGATGGATTTTCGTCTTCGGGCTGGGCTTCACCCAATGAGCCACCTTCCTGGGATGGTGGTGGTCCATTTTGACTCGGTGAAAGCCGGGCTTAGGTTTCCCCTACACCATTTCTTCGTTCCTTCCTCAATTTTTATGAGATAGTACCGACCCAAGTTATGCTGAACTCTTATCGGGTGATAGCGGGCTTCATTTGCCGTTGTAAAGATGCTGACGTTACCCCCACCCTAGAGCTGTTCCATCAATTTTTCAAGGTGGCTCCCCAGCAGACACACGGTTACTTGGTTGCAACTGCCCGAATGGGTCATATTTTATTTAAGGGTAATCCTACCTCGATCAAGGGGTGGAAAGACCGGTTCTTTTTTGTCTCCATCCCGGACGGCCTGATTCCGAATAAGTGGAATGCATTTCCCCGTAAAACTCCCGATCCGCTTCTTACCGAACAAATCTGCAAGGATCTCTTCGCAATAGAGAAGGACAAATCTTGTGATATCATAGGATATCTGACCCCGATCGACTAATCAAGGCCGGGATAGGTACTGCCCGTTTTGTTGGGTTTACTTGTTTTAAGAATCAAGTGCCATGGTCCGGGCGGTCCTTCCCGTGTGAGAAACGTTCCCTTCTTTTTTGTTTCCCACGTGATAAGGCCGTTCGGTACTAACTCTTATCTTTGTTTATTTTTTCAGCCCCTAATCCAGACGCTCCAATGGATAACAGTCGTGTGCTAGCAGCCGGTGGGGTTGGGAAAAGGAAGAAGACAAAGAAAAATCCCAAGGCCAATCCCTCCACCACCACTGTTCAAGATGCTGGGTCCTCTCAACCCGCTCAGGAACCACAACCCATTCAGCAGGTCCCCCATCAGGACCACTTTGAAGAGATGCTGGTCGATGATCGGTTTGGATCTGACCAGTTGCATCATTTCTCCGAGCACTTTCAGGTTGCTCAGGATGCAAACATGACTGCGGGTGAGACCAATACCGTCCCCCTTTCTGGGCAGGTCAAACGGATCTCTCTAGCAGATCCCGTTCATGAAATTTTAGAGAAAGCTGGCTGTTCTGCGAGCCAAGTCTGGTCCACTTCCTCGTGGTATAACAATTTTGTTGTTCCTAAGTTGTCGGTCGAGCAATCTGAAGAATGTCTGGCCTTAGCAGCATTGAAGGTATTTTGTTCTTTCTTCTGTACTTTGTCTTATAAGTTATTGTTTATCCCATATTTTCATCTTTTGTTTTCGAACGGGATTTTGTAGGTGGGGCTCTACCGCCTGCAACTGAGAGAGGCTTGGCTGGCTAAGGAGCGGGACCTGATCGTTGCTCAAACCTCCGCTGAGCAAAATACGGCTACTGCTCTCGCCACTCTGGAGGCCCAACGGAAATCCTCTGCTGAAGAAAAGCAACGGCTTGAGTCTGAGCTTGGTGAGCTTAGGGTCCAGCTCGGGGCCTTTCAGGCCAAAGTTTATGCCGCCGAAGCTGCTTTGGTTAGGTTTGAAGAAACCGCTCCCCGTATTCCGGACGGCCCTGCCGAGGTGAATGTTGACCTGTCTGCCGTTCGGGAGGTATTCAAATCTTCTGAGGAGTTTACTACCCTCAAGAAGGATTATGCGCAGCAGGAGCTCCCGGCCACTTTTGGTGCTTACCTTGACCAATTCCCTAAGGGTGATGCTCGCCGTAAAGAAGGGGTGAAGCTGCTTGACCGGGACCCTAGGGGTAAAAAATTCAATGACTCCCTGACTCAATCCCTTTATGTGATAGGCTGCCAGCATATCCTGGCCCCCTTCGTGGCCAAGCTTCAAGAAATGCTAGGGAGGCCGGTCGAGCTTGCCGATCTTCCCTCGGTCCCTATCGTTGAGGCCCAGTTCGAGAAGTACCAGCGAGATCTGCAACGGGCTGTCGATCGAGAAGCAGGGAGGGATCCTGAACCCCCTACTGATTCGGATGACGACGATGATGATGGTGAAGAGGAAGGGAACAAAAGGCCCCCGACCAGTAGATTAGATTTAAATATTTTAATGATTGTACTTCCTTCTCCCCTTCTCCTTTTTTGCAAATGATCATTGTACTTCCCGGCCAGTAGAGCCGATGAATATATATATGGAATCTTTTTTGCTCAATACTTTACTTATCGTCTTTCCTGTCTTTATTGATTTTTTTGCTTTACCATTCGGGAATCAGTCCGCTTTATAGGACTTAGCAGTTTTTTCTGACCTAATTTTTTGATCATTCTTTGTATCGCCGTTCGGGCTTTCGGTAATTCGCCATGGCTTTCGGTAATTTCCGTTCAGGCTTTCTTTTGTTCCTTGTCATTTGGATTGCCGTCCGGGCTTCAGACAGTTCTGTAGGACTTAGTCGTTTTTTTTGATTTTTTGTTTCCGATGTTCCATCCATCCCACATAGCTGTTAGTAGAACTCCTGTTCGGTTTGTTTGCTTCCCATCTAAACAATACAGACACTACCAAATCATTATCTTAGATTCTACAAGTCGCTCATCTCTCGAATATCGCCCGG